TCCCTGCCTCCCGGCCTCCCGTCCAGGCCCAGCTCCTCCTGCTCCCGGCTGCGGCCGTGGGCCCAGCCCCGGCCTCACGACAACCTCTTTGGACTCGGCTCCGGCCTCCTGCCTTTCGGCAGCACCGCCGGGCCCCACTCCTGCCTCCCAGTGGCCTCGTTAGGCCCGGCTCATTCGTCACGGGCAACGGCCTTTCCAGGCCCAGCCTGTGCCTTCTCCAGTCGGCCTCGCCAGGCCCAGCCTCCTGCCTCCCGAAGGCCTGCTCAGGCCCAGCCTCTGCCTCCCAGCAGACTCTCCACGCCCAGCTCCCGCCTGACTGCGGCCTCCCCAGGCCAGAGCTCCTCCTGCCTTTCGGCAGCTCCGCCGGGCCCCGCTCCTGCCTCCCAGTCGGCCTCGTTAGAGGCCCGGCTCCTCCTGCCTGCCACTGGCCTCTTGAGGCCCAGCCCCGCAGGCCCAGTTGCGGCCTCCCGGCCTCCCGTCCAGGCCCAGCTCCTCCTGCTCCCGGCTGCGTCCGCGGGCCCAGCCCCGGCCTCACGACAACCTCATTGGACTCGGCTCCGGCCCAGCTCCCGCCCCGCGGTCTTTGGAGGCCCAAAAAGTCCTGAGGCCGGGCCCCACGGTGGCCTCTCGGACCCCGGCTCCTGCCTTCCGACGGCGTCTCCACGCCTCAGACTTCCTCCAGCCAGCCTCTCCAGGCCCAGCTCCTCCTGCCGACGGCCTCTGCAGGCCCACGCTGGCCTCGAGTCTCAGCCTCTCCATGGCTCGCTCCTGCTCCCGGCGGCCCCTGCGGGCCCAACTCGTCGCCGAGTAGGCCTCCGCCGGCCCAGCTCCTGCCTCTCCGTGGTCTCCCCAGCTGCCAGACTTCCTCAGGTCAGCCTCTCCAGGCCCAGCTCCTCCTGCCTCCCACTCCCCTCTTGAGGCCCAGCCCCGCTCACGCCTCTGGGCGGCCTCCTCAGGCCCAGGACTTGACCTCCAGTCGGGGAACGGCCTTTCCAGGCCCAGCCTGTGCCTTTCGGCGGGCCGGCCTCTCCAGGCCCGGCTCCTCCTGCCTGCCACTGGCCTCTTGAGGCCCAGCCCCGCTCCCAGTGGCCTCGTTAGGCCCGGCTCATTCGTCACGGGGAACGGCCTTTCCAGGCCCAGCCTCTGCCTTTCGGCGGCCTCCCCAGGCCCAGCCTCCTGCCTCCACCGCCAGGCCCCGCTCCTGCCTCCCAGTGGCCTCGTTAGGCCCGGCTCATTCGTCACGGGGAACCAGGCCAGAGCTCGCTCCTGCCTTTCGGCAGCTCCGCCGGGCCCCCAGCCTCTCCAGGCCCAGCCTCCTCCTGCCTCCAGCCAGCCTCTGCCTCCCGGCTGCGGCCGCGGGCCCAGCCCCGGCCTCACGACAACCTCTTTGGACTCGGCTCCGTCACAGCTCCCGTTCCGAGGCCTTTATAAGCTCAAAACGTCCTGTATCCGGGCCCCACGTTGGCCTCTCAGGCCCGGCTCCTGCCCTCCGACGGCGTATCCATACCCCAGACTTCCTCCAGCCAGCCTCTCCAGGCCCAGCTCCTCCTGCTTGCGGCCTCTGCAGGCCCACGCTGGCCTCGAGTCTCGGCATCCCCAGGGCTCGCTCCTGCTCCCAGCGGCCCCTACGGGCCCAACTCGTCACACAGTCGGACTCCGCCGGCCCAGCTCCTGCCTCTCCGCGGCCTCCGCAGCTGCCAGGCTTTCTCTGGTAAGCCTCTCCAGGTCCAGCTCCTCCTGCCTGCCACTGTCCTCTTGAGGCCCAGCCCCGCTCACGCCTCT